CGGCGGCGGGCACCGCCTGATTTCCGCGGCACTGGAGGGAATGGCGCTGAGCTCGGCAGCGTTGAACTCCGGTTCAGAAGAGACAGGTGGTTGAAACACTACTATTATTATTTTATTAAAAAAAAAAAATAAATCTTATTTCCCGCCAAGGTGTAACTCCGATAACTTGGAGCACTGGATCAGGGTGAAGTAATTTGCACAGTAACTCACTCCAGAGCAAGGTACCCCGTTGTTACACATAAAACTCAGGGGTCGCACACAAAACCTGCTGCTGAGAAGCGCTGCAGGTTGTATGTACGGGCAAGTAATAAAAAGAGATTTACCCCAAAGCACTTTCTGCATCTACACTTAAGATCAAGACAAATGAGCTTTAGCGTGAACTTCCTTTTGTATTACTTCCTTGGGTATCACCTTGCTCCCACCTTCAGCATCCTTCTTAGGACAGGCAGGAGTGTGCGCCTGCCTCTTCATGCAGCCTCCTAGACCTCTGCAAAGGGAAGAAGTTCTGCAGAAACGTGGGCTGTCTGGGGTACAGGTGTTACATGTGAAAACACAGTGACATGTCCGGACCATTTACACCTCAGAGAGATGGCTATAGGAGAGAAAATCACTCAGACTATTTACATGGTAGCCAGCCTGGTTATGACAAAATGCTGATACTGACTGGTGGTTGCTGGAGACTAACTCAGCAAGTCTCCTTTCAGCCCCCAGGGGCTGGGTGTTAGCATTCTCCCAACATGTTCTCCAATCACTGTGATTGGCACTAATTGCCAAATGAGTGCTTATTACTTAATCATTTCTAAGTCCAATTTCTCCAGTCAATCAAGAGCAGTCAGAGAAACGTGTTTCAAAGAAAATCTGTTTCTTATAACCACCATACTATCTTGTGTTACATTCCCACTAATGTTTGCTCTCTCTGGAGGAGAAACCTAGATATAGGAAGTTTAAAAATTAATATCCAGCAATCCTTAGCAATGTTTTCCTTTCTTTAATTTAAAGAGAGTGGAGCAAGCCTCTGAGTATGCCATCTCTGAAGCTTTTTCCCTTCAACGGTCAAGGTATCCACAGGGGTCTTGTCGTCCTGTGCCGAGTTTGGAAACTGTGGAACAGCTGCAAGATCATGATGAGGCCTGTGAGGAAGGTGAGCTGAAATACTGCCTGCTACAAGCTGCCTAAAATTAATTCTTCTTCATCTGGTATTGTGGTTCTGGTCTGAAAAGGCTCTTACAAAGCTTGAGACTAAAAGAAACAGTTTATTGTAAGATGCTTTTTATCTAACAGAGAAAGGCATAAGAAGAATCAATTGCTGGAGTTCAAGATAGATCTTAATCAACATACCTAAGAGAAGGATAAGCTTTCTGTCTTCTGGAGATTTCAGGTCAAGACAAGGACGAATACTGCCCCTGAATACACACTCTATGGTCAAATACAAGTTGGTTGGCTATAGGGAACCAAATGAAATTCCCTGATAGATTTTTGATAGCAGGACAGATGTGAAAATGGAGTTGCTCTGTGTAACTTTGACATCTACAAATAATAGTGTGGTTTTGCTTTGATTCCCGTGCAAAATTTGCTTCACTAATTAGCTAACTATATATTCCCTTTGTAATGCCTGCAGCCACAAGTGCTTACTGAAATTTGAAAATAAAACTGCAGCTCATTTAAAAAAAACAGGAGAGGGAAATTGTCTCCCATCAGTGCTAGAAGTACATCTGCAGTGTAGAAAGTTGATAGGAGACAGGATTTTAAAAACTGAGATAACCATTCTTTTAAGACTCAAAAGTGAGCCTGATGGAGTGGAATGAAGACATGTCTCGGGAGCATCCACTTCAATACAGGAAGTCAGCTTTTTCACTTGTAATCATCAAGGGTACAACTAATAGCACGGAATACACTTATCTGCTTACAGTGCACTGTCTGGATGCATTTATACAGGATAGTGGCTCAAAAGGAGCTGTCTTTGCAATTGGTGGAAAAGTTGCTTGCTTTCCGCATGTTTCTTTATTTTTGTTTGTCCTTCTCTGCTAGGGTTTTCCTTTTTTAGCTACCAATCCCTCAGGATTGTTCTTAGCTCAACAGAAAGCCTTTTATCTGGAATCCGTTATTAGAATACTTAATGGTATTAACTACACTTAGTAGTTATTAACTACACTTTGCAAAGAAAGGTACTGATAAGAGAAGTGCCACAACTCTTCTACTTCAGTTACGAGGAGCTCACATTTCCCAGTCAAAAAAGTACCCCCTCCCGAAGTGATAAGCTGTTTTTCTCTTTTCTGTTATCAGATATATTTTCTTGTTCCTGAGCTAGCCTGAGAGATTATAAAAGACAACAAAAGTGATTTGAAGAACAATAAACATTAGATTTATGTTTTCTTCAAAAATCCCACCCCTTTTCAAGCAAGTTTTAAAAAGGCTTTATTGCTTTATAAATACCAGGACTCAATGGGAGCATCTTCATTTTGTCTTAGAATGAGAGATTTGGAGCAGCTGCTTCCTCCTGTCTAGTGGCTGTGTGCCCTTACACGGGATGACTTGCAGTGCCGTGGCTGCTGAGATAACGCTATAATAATCACACGAGTGATCTAAATGTCCACAGAATCTTGTAGGAAAAATGAGGTGGAGAAGAATTCATCTGTGACAGGGAAAAAGTTTGCCACCTTCTCTTCATGTTCTTTTATAGATCAAGAACATGAGAACAGAACTATTAGCCTTATTCTGTTTTCTGTTGCAGATCAGCTTTCAGGTATTTTAGACAGCCTTCCCAGCAT